GGAGGACCAACCTAGCCTGACCATAGAGCTCTGGGAGGACTGACTTAAAGGGCCCAACTTACCATAGAGATCTTGGAGGACTATCCTAGACCTACCATAGAGCTCTAGGACCATCCCAGAGAGCCCAGACTACCATAGAGACCTGGGAGGACCAACCCAGAGAACCCAAACTACCATAGAGACCCAGGAGGACCAACCCAGAGGGCCCAATCTACCATAGAGACCCAGGAGGACCAACCCAGACCCACCATAGAGACCTTGGAGGACCAACCCAGACCCACCAGAAAGACCTTGGAGGACCAACCCAGACCCACCATAGAGATCTGGGAGGACCAACCCAGACCCACCATAGAGATCTGGGAGGACCAACCCAGACCCACCATAGAGACCTTGGAGGACCAACCCAGACCCACCACAGAGACCTTGAAGGACCAGCCCAGAGGGCCCAACCTACCATAGAGACCTTGGAGGACCATTTGAGAGCACCCCCAGCCCCACCACAGCCCCTCTCTATGCCCCCCATGCCTCAGTGGGGCTTCCTTGGGGGGGGTTTGGTGGCCATGGGCTGCAATGGTGGCCATGGTTGGTGGCCCTGGGTCATGATGGTGGCCCTGGGTGGAGGCCACGGCCATGGGTGGTGGCTCTGGGTCAAGATGGTGGCCATAGGTGGTGGCCATGGCCATGGGTGATGGCCCTGGGTCCTGGTTGTGGCCATGAGTGGTGGCCAAGGGTGGCAACCCTGGTTGGTGGCCATGGCCCTGGGCTGCAATGGTGGCCCTGGGTGGTGGCCAAGGGTGGCAGCCCTGGTTGGTGGCCATGGCCTTGGGCTGCAACAGTGACCACGGGTGGTGGCCCTGGGTCCTGATGATGGCCCTGGGTGGTGGCCATGGCTGTGGGTGGTGGCCAAGACCATGGGTGGTGACCCTGGGTCAAGATGGTGGCCATGGTTGGTGGCCCTGGGTCCTAACAATGGCCCTGGGTGGTGGCCCTGGGTCAAAGTGGCGGCCGTGGGAGGTGGGCATGGCTGTGGGTGGTGGCCCTGGGTCCTGATGGTGGCCCTGGGTGGTAGCCCAGGTTGGTGGCCATGGCCCTAGGCTGCAATGGTGGCCATGGGTGGTGGCCCTGGGTCCTAACGATGGCCCTGGGTGGTGGCCATGGCCGTGGGTGGTGGCCATGGGGTTGCAATGGAGGCCCTGGTTGGTGGCCATGGCCATGCTTGGTGGCCCTGGGTCCTGCTGGTGGCCATGGGTGGTGGCCCTGGGTCCTAACGATGGCCCTGGGTGGTGGCCATGGCCGTGGGTGGTGGCCCTGGGTCAAGATGGTGGCCCTGGGTGGTGGCCATGGCCATGGGTGATGGCTCTGGGTGGTGGCCCTGAGTGGTGGCCCCAGTTGGTGGCCATGGGTTGCAATAGTGGCCATGGGTGGTGGCCATGAGTGGTGGCCCTGGGTCAAAGTGGTGGCCTTGGTTGGTGGCCATGGCCCTGGGCTGCAATGGTGGCCCTGGGTGGTGGCCAAGACCATGGGTGATGGCCCTGGGTCAAAGTGGTGGCCATGGTTGGTGGCCCTGGGTGGTGCCCATGGCTGTGGATGGTGGCCCTGGGTGGTAGCCCCGGTTGGTGGCCCTGGGCTGCAATGGTGGCCCCGGTTGGTGGCCGCGTCCCTCACCCGCCTGCTCGTTGGCCGCCAGGTTCCGCTCGAACCCGATGCGCAGCATCTCGTACTCCTTGCGCACCTGGGCCAGGGTGTCCTCCAGCTGGATCACCTCCGTCCGCAGCCGCGTCTGCACCCCCAGCTCGTCGCTCTGCGGAGGGGGCCCCGAGCCCAGGTGAGGGACGTGGGGGATGCGGGGGACGTGAGGGAGGTGGAGAAGATGGAGGATGTGGAGGACGCGAGGAAGATGGAGGAGATTTGGGACATGGAGGACGTGGAGGAGATGGAGGACGTGGAGAAGATGGAGGATGTGGAGGATGCGGGGAAGATGAGAGAGATCAAGGACATGGAGAACATAGGGACATGGAGCTGGAGAAGATGGAGGAGATTTGGGACATGGAGGACGTGGAGAAGATGGAGGACGCGGAGGAGGTGGAGAAGATGGAGAACGCAGGGAAGATGGAGGAGATTTGGGACATGGAGGAGGTGGAGGAGATGGAGGACACGGGGAAGATGGAGGACGTGGGGAAGATGGAGGACGTGGGGAAGATGGAGGACGTGGGGAAGATGGAGGACGTGGGGAAGATGGAGGACGTGGGGAAGATGGAGGACGTGGGGAAGATGGAGGACGTGGGGAAGATGGAGGACGTGGGGAAGATGGAGGACGTGGGGAAGATGGAGGACGTGGGGAAGATGGAGGACGTGGGGAAGATGGAGGACGTGGGGAAGATGGAGGACGTGGGGAAGATGGAGGACGTGGGGAAGATGGAGGACGTGGGGAAGATGGAGGACGTGGAGGGGATGGAGGACGTGGAGGACGTGGGGAAGATGGAGGAGATTTGGGACGTGGAGAACGTGGAGGAGATGGAGGTGGAGAAGATGAGAGAGATTGGGGACATGGAGGATGTGGAGAAGATGGAGGACACGGGGAAGATGGAGGACACGGGGAAGATGGAGGAGATTTGGGATGTGGAGGACATGGAGGAGATGGCGAATGTGGAGAAGATGGAGGACACGGAGAAGATGGAGGACGTGGAGGAGATGGAGGAGATTTGGGACATGGAGGAGGTGGAGGAGATGGAGGATGTGGAGAAGATGAGGGGGATTGGGGACATGGAGGATGTGGAGAAGATGGAGGACATGGGGAAGATGAAGGACGTGGAGAAGATGGAGGATGTGGAGGACACGGGGAAGATGGAGGAGATTTGGGACGTGGAGGAGGTGGAGAAGCTGAGGGAGATTTGGGGATGTGGAGGATGTGGGGACAGGGAAAACATGGAGGACGGGGAGGAGATGGAAATTTGGGACATGGAGGAGGTGGGGACATTGGGGACACGGGGGGGATTTGGGACACGGGGGGGATTTGGGGACACAAATTGGG